GCCACCTCGCCCGGCTAGTTTTTTGTATTTTTTAGTAGAGACGGGGGTTTCACCGTGTTAGCCAGGATGGTCTCGAACTCCTGACCTCGTGATCCGCCCGTCTCGGCCTCCCAAAGTGCTGGGATTACAGGCTTGAGCCACCGCGCCCGGCGAGACTCTGTTTCTTAAAAAAAGAAAAAAAAAAAAAAGACTTCTCTCCACTATGAATTACAAGATAAACAGTAAGACCTGAACACCCTCTAAATACTCTGCCATATTCATTACATTTGTAATGCTTCCTTCCAGTATGAATTCTTTTTTTTGGGGCGGGGGATGGAATCACACTGTCACACAGGCTGGAGTGTAGTAGCACATTCTTGGCTCACTGCAACCTCCGTCTCCCGGGTTTATGTGATTCTCCTGCCTCAGCCTCCTGAGTAGCTGGGATTACAGGCACCCACCACCACAACTGACTAATTTTTTTGTTTTTAGTAGTGATGGGGTTTCAACATGTCGGTCAGACTGGTCTCAAACTCCTGACCTCAACTGATCCATCTGCCTTGGCCTCCCAAAGGGATTACAGGCATGAGCAACTGCACCCAGCCTCCAGTATGAATTCTTTGATGTACAAGGAGTGAATTGTGACTTTGACCTTGTCACATTCATTACATTTAAAAGTTATCTCTGCAGTATGAATTTTCCAATGTTGTGCCAGGTGTGCATTTTATTTGAAGATGTCACATTCATTTGTAAGGTTTCTCTCCAGTATGGATTCTAAGATAGTTTACAAGGTGTATATTTTAAGTGAAGACCTTGCTATACTTGTTACATGTTTACAGTCGATCACCAGCGTGAATTCTCTTGATGAGAGGTCAGGGGAAACATAAGCCTGGAGACCTTCATGTATTCTTTACATTTGTAAGGTTTCCTTCTAGTATGGATTAACAGATGGATAGAGACGCCTGATTTCATAAGAAATTCTTTGCCATATTTATTACTTTTGTAAGGCTTCACCAATTTTTTTTTTTTTCTGCTCCTCTTGCCCAGGCTGGAGTGCAATGGTGCGATCTTGGCTCACCACAACCTCGGCCTCCTGGGTTCAAGCAATTCTGCCTCAGCCTCCCAAGTAGCTGGAATCACAGGTGCCTGCCACTTCAGCCAACTAATTTTGTATTTTTAGTAGGGAAAGGATTTCTCCATGTTGGTCAGGCTGGTCTCGAACTTCCGACCTCAGGTGATCCGGCCCAGCCTCCCAAAGTACTGGGATTAAAGGCATGAGCCACCACGCCTGACAGCTTCACTAAATTTTTTTTCTCTCTCTCTTTTTGAGACGGAGTTTCACTCTGTTGCCTAGGCTGGAGTACAGTGGCTCACTCGGCTCACTGCAGGCTCGACCTCCCAGGTTCATGCCATTCTCCTGCCTCAGCCTCCCAAGTTGCTGGGACTACAGGCACCTGCCACCATAGCCAGCTAATTTTTTTTTTTTTTTTTGATTTTTAGTAGAGACAGGGTTTCACCATGTTAGCAAGGATGGTCTTGATCTCCTGACCCCATCATCCACCAACCTTGGACTCCCAAAGTAATGGGCATACAGGTGTAAGCCACTGTGCCCTGCCAGCTTCACTAAATTTTTTTTTTTTTTTTTTTTTTGAGACGGAGTCTCGCTCTGTCCCCAGGCTGGAGTGCAGTGGCGCATCTCGGCTCACTGCAAGCTCCGCCTCCCGGTTCACGCCATTCTCCTGCCTCAGCCTCCCGAGTAGCTGGGACTACAGGCGCCCACACCGCGCCCGGCTAATTTTTTTTATTTTTAGTAGAGACGGGGTTTCACCGTGGTCTCGATCTCCTGACCTTGTGATCCGCCCGCCTTGGCCTCCAAAGTGCTGGGATTACAGGCGTGAGCCACCGCGCCCGGCCACTAAATTTTTAAGGCTTCTCTCTGGTATGAATTCTCCAATGTTGTACCAGGATTCAGTTTTTACTAAAGACCTTAACACACTCATTACAACTGTATGTCTTCTTTCCAGTATGAATATTCCTATGCTGTGCAAGGTGTGAATTCTGACTGAAGACCTTGCTACATTCATTTCATTTATAAAGCTTCTCTCCAGTATGAATTTTCCTATGTCGTGAAAGGTGTGAATTCCTACTGAAGACCTTGCCACATTCATTACAACTGTAAGCCTTCTCTCCAGTATGAATATTCCTATGTTGTGTAAGGTGTGAATTCTGACTGAAGACCTTGCCACATTCATTACATTTGTAAAGCTTCTCTCCAGTATGAATTTTTCTATGTCGTGCAAGGTGTGAATTCTGACGGAAGACCTTGCCACATTCGTTACATTTGCAAGGCTTCTCTCCAGTATGAATTCTAGAGTGATAAGTTAGGGAAGACTTGTGCCCGAAGACCTTGCCACACTCTATACATTCATAAGGTTTCTCTCCAGTATGGATTAGAAAATGGGCAGTGAGATCTGAATACTGTCTAAATGCTTTGCCACATTTATTACATTTGCAAGGCTTCTCCCCAGTATGAATTTTCCTATGTCGTGCAAGGCGTGAATTGCCAATAAAGACCTTGCCACACTCATTACATTTGTAAGGTTTCTCTCCAGTATGAACTTTCCAATGCCTTACAAGGAATGCAATTCGACTAAAGCCCTTGCCACATTCCTTACATTTGTATGGTCTCTGTGTAGTATGAATTGTCCGATGAATGGTTGGGGAAGACTTGTGACTGAAGACCTTGCCACGTTCCTTACAATCATAAGGTTTCTCTCCAGTATGGATTAAAAGAGGAGCAGTAAGACTGGAACACACATTAAATGCTCTGCCACATTCACTACATTTGTAAGGCTTCTCTCCAGTATTAATTTTCCTATGTTGTGCAAGGTAGGCATGGTGACTAAAGACTTTGTCACATTCATTGCAATTGTAAGGTTTCTCTCCAGTATGAATTTTCTGATGTTGTGCAAGGTATGAATTCTGATTGAAGACCTTGCCACATTCATTACATTTGTAAGGCTTCTCTCCAGTATGGATTCCTCGATGTTGTGCAAGGTTTGAATTGCTACTAAAGATCTCGCCACAGTCACTTTGTTTGTAAGGTACATCTGCAATATGGATTACTTGATGGTTAATAAGGCTTGAAGATGCTCTGAAGACTTTGCCATGCTCTTTACATCCATAAGGTTTTCCCCTAATGTGTATTTTCTGTTCTTGTGGGAGTATTGTAGAAAAAACAAAATCATTTTTGTAGTTATTACAAATATGGGTTTTGACATTGGAAAAACTTATTTGAACTGGTAAAACTGAAGAATTGTCACTGATAGATTTTTCAACATGCTTACATCCATAAATATTCCTTACAGCTTGAAGTGGCTGCCATTCAGCCAGATGTAACTGAAGAGTTAATCCATGTTGATTTTTAAGTGGCTTATTTCCTGCATTGCTTCCCAATTTAGAACTCTTCTCTAGAAAAGCAAGAAAACATTGGAACTTAATCCATGATTCTGGCATGTTTAAAGTCTGACAGAAAACAAGATTCTGGATCACTTGACTCAGACATTGAAAGTATCAGCATACTTTGCTTTTATTGAGATGGAGTCTCACACTGTCACCCAGGCCAGAGTGCAATGGTGTGATCTTAGCTCACTACAACCTCTGCCTCCTGGGTTTAAGCAATTCTCCCTCCCAAGTAGCTGGGATTACAGGTGGCTGCCACCACGCCTGGCTAACTTTATGTATTTTAGTAGAGACGGGGTTTCACTATGTTGGTCAGGCTGGTCTCAAACTCCTGACTCGTGATCCACCTGCCTCAGCCTCCCAAAGTGCTGGGATTACAGGCATGAGCCACCGTGCCCGGCCAGTATCAGCATACTTTGTATAACATGTTGGTACTGCAGAAAACACAAGGGAGTGAGGTGATGTACTGGAGCATCTGGAATCTGCAGGAGTCAGGGGAACTATGGGAGAGCTTGAGAGAGATTATAAGCAGACAAATAAAAGAGAAACTAACAGCTTCTGTGAAAAAGCAGGGATAAGTCTCTTAAGGAAAATAAGATATTTAAGAGCAGCAGTGTAGACATTTGTAATACTACTTTCACAAAGTCAGGAAAGATATAGCCCAGAAAAGAATCGAGTGTTCATATACCCTTACAAGAAGTAAGGTCTCCCACAGCACATTATAAAAAATAACTGAAAAAAGTGGTTGTTTTCCCAAACCTAAACCAAAAACTACTATAAAGGCCTATGAAAAGATGAGAAAATATGGCTTAAAGAATAACAAATAAATATATAAATAAATAAAACTCCAGATACAAAAATAAAAGATAACAGAGACAGAAAATTAAATAAAATGAGAAAAATAATACGTGAAAAGAATGAGGATAACAAACATGGGAAATCATTAAAAACAAGAGAACAGGGTAGGCGCAGTGGCTCAAGCCTGTAATCCCAGCACTTTGGGAGGCCGAGACGGGTGGATCACGAGGTCAGGAGATCGAGACCATCCTGGCTAACCCGGTGAAACCCCGTCTCTACTAAAAAATACAAAAAACTAGCCTGGCGTGGTGGCGGGCGCCTGTAGTCCCAGCTACTCGGGAGGCTGAGGCAGGAGAATGGCGTGAACCCGGGAGGCGGAGCTTGCAGTGAGCTGAGATCGCACCACTGCACTCCAGCCTGGGCGACCAAGCAAGACTCCATCTCAAAAAAAAAAAAAAAAAAAAAAAAGACAATTGTCGTTCACAACTCAAAGGATTTCAACTTTGGTTTTCCCACAGAATTCTCCCACTTGCAGAGTTTCCCAAACACTATGTAATAGTGTGGCTTTGCAGAGTATAGTGGCTCAAGCCTGTAATCCCAACATTTTGGAAGACCAGCCAGAAGGATCATCCCTAAGTCCAGGAGTTTAAGGCTGCTGTGAGCTATGATTGCCACTGCACTCTAGCATAGATGACAAAGTGAGACCCTGTCTCAAAAAACAAAAATTATGGGGCCTCCACTCTGCCCACCCGAATTCTCACCTGTTTTCACACCTTTGATGTACTCCCTGCCATTTGGATTGTTTGCTACTTTCACATCACTCTGCAGAGTCCAGGGATCTCTCTTTTGCTCCAAAATGGAGATAACACTCAGGTCAGGAAGACAGATTCCTATTTATAAAAAGAAAGAATAAATGTGTGCTGTGGCATCTCCGAAGTCCAAGCCCTATATTTAGGTAAGAGAGAGCCTATTACAAATTAATCAAGAATATTTCACAAATTCATCCACTGACTGCCACCTTCTGAATGCTGAGGGAACATTGTAACATGTAGACATCAAGCCCCCTTTCAAGAACTACTGAATCAAAAGCACAGGGGTATAAAACAGGGAACTGAATAATTATTAAGTCTGTCATAAGGTTTCATGCTTACTTCAGCAGTGGTGCCACCAATGACGAATCATGAAGGAAGCAGAATATCTGAAGAAAGGGGACTTTTTTTTTTTTTTTTTGAGACAGAGTCTCACTCTGTCGCCCAGGCTTGAGTGCAGTGGCATGATCTCAGCTCACTGCAGCCCCTGCCTCCCAGGTTCAAGCAATTCTTCTGCTTCAGCCTCCCGAGTGGCTGGGACTACAGGCATGTACCACCATGCCTGACTAATCTTTGTATTTTTAGTAGGGATGGGGTTTCACCATGTTGATCAGGCTGGTGTAAGGGGACATTTCAAGTCCAGAAAGGATAATGCTTTTCATTTCTCAGTCAACAGGTTTCAATCTCAGTCAAGCAATGCAGGGGCTCCCAAAAGACAGACAAGAGAAAATGCAAAAAGATATACCAGAGCAGATCCAGGCTTCTGGAGGAACATTATCCTCACCTAGGGAGATCAGGTTCCTGTAGTTCTCTAACATCACATCCCTGTATAAAGCTTTCTGCCCAGGGTTCAGGCATTTCCACTCCTCCTGAGAGAATTCTATGGCCACATCCCTGAATAACAATTGTCCCTAAAAGGAAATCCACATTTCAAAAACAGGATATGGAGAGAGTACTTATCTTCAAAGAGAATGAGAAGATAGTTGGAAGGATTGACTGCATTGAAGTGAGCATTGTGACAAATCCACATTAACATATTCTTGAGTTAGTTATGTGTCTGTGATTGTGTTTTATTACACTTTTCCATAAGAAGTGGTGACGTTCTGGCCGGGCGCGGTGGCTCACGCCTGTAATCCCAGCACTTTGGGAGGCCGAGGCGGGCGGATCACGAGGTCAGGAGATCGAGACCATCGGTGAAACCCCGTCTCTACTAAAAATGCAAAAAATTAGCCGGGCGAGGCGGCGGGCGCCTGTAGTCCCAGCTACTCGGGAGGCTGAGGCAGGAGAATGGCGTGAACCCGGGAGACGGAGCTTGCAGTGAGCCGAGATCGCGCCATCGCACTCCAGCCTGGGCGACTAAGGGAGACTCTGTCTCAAAAAAAAAAAAAAAAAAAAAAAAGAAGTGGTGACGTTCTTTAAATCAGAGTACATGTTTCATTTTGTGGATAATACAAGTAATACAAACAAAAAATTAAACCAGGGTTATCTCTACAGAAATGTTAGGTATTATTGCCGGGCGCGGTGGCTCACGCCTGTAATCTCAGCACTTTGGGAGACAGAGGCGGGTGGATCATGAGGTCAGGAGATCAAGACCATCCTGGCCACACGGTGCAACCCCATCTCTACTAAATACAAAAAATTAGCCAGGCGTGGTGGGGGGCGCCTATAGTCTCAGCTACTCAGGAGGCTGAGGCAGAAGAATGGCGTGAATCCAGGAGATGGAGCTCGCAGTGAGCCGAGATTGCACCACTGTACTCCAGCTTCCGCAACAGAGCGAGACTCCATCTCAAAAAAAAAAAAAAAAAGAAAAAGAAAAGAAAAAGAAATGTGAGGTATTATTTTTGACACATCTAGTGATATTTAGTATCTACCTGAGATACAAGTGTGTCTTCAGAGATGACAATGTCTACAGTGCTCTTTCTCTTTTTGAGATAGGATCTTACTCTGTTTCCCAGACTGGAATGCAAGGGTGTGATATCGACTCACTGAAACCCCTGCCTCCCAGGCTCAAGTAATCCTCTAACCTCAGCCTCCCGAGTAGCTGGGACTACAGGCTCACACCACTATGCCCAGCTAATTTTTGTATGTTTTGTAGAGACAGAGTCTCATCAGGTTGTCCAAGCTGGTCTCAAACCCCTAAGCTCAAGCAATCCTCCCACCTCAGCCTACAAAAATGCTGGGATTACAGGCATGAGCTACCACATCCGACCTATAGTGGTTTTTAAAAATGGTCAAAATCTGGGCCATGGGTGGTGACTCACGCCTGTAATCCCAGCACTTTGGGAGGCCGAAGCAGGTGGATCAGGAGCTCAGGAGTTCAAGACCAGCCTGGTCAACATGGTGAAACCCCATCTCTACTAAAAATACAAAAAATTAGCTGGGCATGGAGTTGTGCACCTCTAATCCCAGCTACTCAGGAGGCTGAGGCAGGAGAATGGCTTGAACGTGGGAGGCAGAGGTTGCAGTGAGCCGAGACTGTGCCATTGCACTCCAGCCTGGGTGACAGGGTGAGACCCTGTCTCAAAAAAAATAAAATACAATAAAATTTTAAAATGGCCAAAATCTGAAAACTGTGATGCTAACAGTAGCAATGGCTGAATAGAACACTTCCCATGTGATAGGCACTATTCTAAATGATTGACATGAACTAACTGGTATAGCAACAAAAGCCAATGAAAGAATGATCTGTTCCTATCTTACTGAAGAGACAACTCTTTCACATGCACGCTAGCTTGCCCCAGGTGTGAGGGCTGAAACAGCAGAGTAAGCACCAGATCCCAGGTCTCTGAGCATGAGAATCAAACCTAAAGAACCAAACAGTTAAGTAACAGATCAGCATCAATTGACAATTACCTAATTCACTAAATTCAAAACAACTTCAAGGATTAAAAACATGGAATTGCCTAAAAGTTCATCATATGTGCATATATATAATAGATATCCCCATAATACATTACTATAAGATTCTTTTAGCCATTGCCTCATTAACATAATGTAGAAAAATTTGAATATCCTGATGAATAGATATAATTTCAACTGATAAAAATATATATAATAAAAAATTATGACATGCTATTTATAAAACACTATAGGCTTGCTCATCTGTGCACTCATGCAAACATATCACATGTACACACTTATATATACTAACACTCATATACATTAGTACACATATACATTTATATGGCTGAGATCACAAAACCACACTCCAGCCTGGGCAACAGAGTGAGACTCTGTCTCAAAAAAAAAAAAAAAAAAGGAATTCCACATGCAGCTTCTCTAATCCTAGTCCACAGAACACTCTCAGTGCATCCAGATGTGGCCCCTGAACAATCCCTGCTGCCCAACAGTACTGACACCACAGGGCCCTTATCCCATCTCCTTCCATGTCTGGATGTGAGCCCCTTGCAGGTCCATGCCCAGTGGGACCTCTTCCCAAGTTCATGTCACTGGGTAATAGGCAACTGGAATCTTAAGTGGAAGTGAAAGGAACTGGAAGAAGCCATGGGTAAGTGCAATGAAATGAGTCAGGCAGGATCCTTCAGAGTCAGAGATTGGCAACTCCAATGCCTGGCATTTCAGGAAGAAACAGAGACAGAAGAATCCACTGAGAATATTACCTTACATGAGTGAGGGCCATTCCTGACTTCTTTTCTTTCCTCTTCTGAGTTGCTTCCTTGCATAATATGTCTCTTTGAAAGTGAATCCTAATATCAAAAATAATGCTGTTTAGGGCTTAGAATCAACACACCTACTTCCTGTGCCATAGCCTCATGCGTGGGGAAAAGAAAGAGATCAGCCTGTTACTGTGTCTATATAGAAAGAAGTAGACATAAGAGACTCCATTTTGTTCTGTATTTGAGATGCTGTTAATCTGTGATCCTACCCCCAACCTTGTCCTTGCAAGAGACATGCGCTGTGGTGACTCAAGGTTTAATGGATTTTGGGCTGTGCAGGATGTGTCTTTGTTAAACAAGTGCCTGAAGGCAGCTTGCTGGTTAAAAGTCATCACCATTCTCTTAATTTCAACTACCCAGGGACACTTACGCGGCCAAAGGTCCAGGGACCTCTGCCTAGGAAAGCTAGGTATTGTCCAAGGTTTCTCCCCATGTGATAGGCCGAAACAATGCTGCTGAAAAGTTTATGGAGATGTTTGCATATGCATCTCAAGGCACAGCATTTTCCTTTAAACTTATTCATGTCACAGAGATTTTTGTTCAAATGTCTTACTGCTGATTTCCTCCCTACAATGATCCTATTGTCCAGCCGCTCCCTTATTTTTAAGATGGTAAAGATAATTATCAATAAATACTAAGGGAACTCAGAGACCGGTGCCGGCGTGGGTCCTCTGTAAGCTGAGCGCCCGTCCCCTGGGCCCACTTTTTCTTTCTCTATACTTTGTCTCTGAGTCTCATTTCTTTTCTCAAGTCTCTGGTTCCACCTAACGAGAAACACCCACAGGTGTGGAGGGGCAGGCCACCCCATCATCTGGTGCCCAACATGGGAGCTTTTCTCTAAGGTGAAGGTACGCTGGAGCGTGGTCATTGAGGACAAGTCGCCAAGAGACTCCTGAGTACGTCTACAGTCAGCCTTGCAGTAAGCTTGTGCGCTCGGAAGAACCTAGGGTAACAATGGGGCAAACTAAAAGTAAATATGCCTCTTATCGCAGCTTTATTAAAATTCTCTTAAAAAGAGGGGGAGTTAAAGTCTCTACCAAAAATCTAATTACGCTATTTCAAACAATAGAGCAGTTTTGTCCATGGTTTCCGGAACAGGGAACTTTAGATCTAAAAGACTGGGAAAAAATTGGCAAAGAATTAAAACAAGCAAGTAGGGAAGGTAAAATCATCCCACTTACAGTGTGGAATGATTGGGTCATTATTAAAGTAGCTTTAGAACCGTTGCAAACAGAAGATAGCGTTCCAGTTTCTGATGTCCCTAAAAGCTGTGCAGTAGATTGTGAAAAAGAGGCAGGGGCCGGGCGCGGTGGCTCAAGCCTGTAATCCCAGCACTTTGGGAGGCCGAGATGGGCGGATCACGAGGTCAGGAGATCGAGACCATCCTGGCTAACACGGTGAAACCCCGTCTCTACTAAAAATACAAAAACTAGCTGGCGTGGTGGCGGGCGCTGTAGTCCAGCTACTCGGAGGCTGAGGCAGGAGAATGGCGTGAACCTGGAGGCGGAGCTGCAGTGAGCTGAGATCTGGCCACTGCACTCCAGCCCGGGCGACAGAGCAAGACTCCGTCTCAAAAAAAAAAAAAAAAAAAAAAAAAAAAGAGGCAGGGATAGAATCCCGGAAAGGAAAGGAAAGTTCACACTGTAAATGTGTATCAGAGCCGGTAATGGCTCGGTCAATGCAAAATGTTTATGATAATCAATTACAGGAGGTAGTATATCCTGAGACATTAAAATTAGAAGAAAAAGGTCCAGAATTAGCAGAGCCATCACAGTCTAAACCACGATGGCCAACTCCTCTTACAGCAGCTCAGATGTCTGTAACTTTACAACCTCAAATGCAGGTTAAACAAGTACAAACTGCAAAAGAAGATCAAATAGAAAAAGATAGAGTCTCTGTCATGGCAATGCCAATCCATATACAGTGTCCACAATATCAGCCGGTAGAAAATAAGACCCAGCCGCCAGTAGCCTATCAATACTGGCCGCCAGCCGAACTGCAGTATCGGCAGCCCTCAGAAAATCCGTATGGACAGCCAGGAACATTTCCAGTGCCACAGGGCAGGGCGCCATATCCTCAGCCGCCCACCATGAGACTTAATCCTACAGCACCGCCTAGTACACAGGGTAGTGCGTTACATAAAATTATTGATGAGGCAAGAAAACAAGGAGATATTGAGGCGTGGCAATTCCCGGTAATATTAGAAGCAAGACCACCTGGAGAAGAGGCCCAAGAGGGAGAGCCTCCCGTAACTGAAGCCAGGTATCAGTCCTTTTCTATAAAAATGCTAAAAGAAATGAAAGAGGGAGTAAAACAGTATGGACCCAACTCTCCTTACATGAGAACATTATTAGATTCCATTGCTCATGGACATAGACTCGTTCCTTATGATTGGGAGATTCTGACAAAATCCTCACTCTCACCCTCTCAATTTTTACAATTTAAGACTTGGTGGATTGATGGGGCACAAGTACAGGTCCGAAGAAATAGGACTGCCAATCCTCCAATTAACATAGATGCAGATCAACTATTAGGAATAGGTCAAAATTGGAGCACTGTTGACCAACAAGTAATAATGCCAAATGAGGCCATTTAAGGCCCTGGGAGAAAATCCAAGACCCAGGAACTGCCTGCCCCTCCTTTAATACAATAAGACAAGGCTCTAAAGAGCCCTACCCTGATTTTGTAGCAAGACTTCAAGATGCTGCTCAAAAGTCAATTACGGATGAGAATGCCCGTAAGGTCATAGTGGAGTTGATGGCCTATGAAAACGCCAATCCTGAGTGTCAGTCAGCCATTAAGCCATTAAAAGGAACGGTTCCCACAGGATCAGATGTAATCTCAGAGTATGTTAAAGCCTGCGATGGAACTGGAGGAGCTATGCATAAAGCTATGCTTATGGCTCAAGCAATCACAGGAGTTGCTTCAGGAGGACAAGTTAGAGCATTTGGGGGAAAATGTTATAATTGTGGTCAAATTGGTCATCTAAAAAAGAATTGTCTAGTCTCAAATAAATAAAATGTAACTACTCAAGCTACTACCACAACAGATAAAGAGCCACCTGGCCTATGTCCAAGATGTAAAAAGGGAAAACATTGGGGTCATCAATGTCATTCTAAATTTGATAAAAATGGGCAACCACTGTCAGGAAACGAGAGGAGGGGCCGGCCTCAGGCCCTGCAACAAACTGGGGCACTCCAAATTCAGCCCTTTGTTCCTCAGGGTTTTCAGGAACAACAACCCCCACTGTCACAAGTGTCTCAGGGAATAAGCCAGTTATCACAATACAGCAATTATCCCCCGCCACAAGCGGCAATGCAGCGGTAGATTTATGCACCATCCAAGCAGTCTCTCTGCTTCCAGGGGAGCCTCCTCGAAAAATCCCCACAGGGGTATACGGCCCATTGCCTGAGGGGACTGTAGGACTAATCTTAGGAAGATCAAGTTTAAATCTAAAGGGAGTTCAAATTCATACTGATGTGGTTGATTCAGACTGTAAAGGCGAAATTCAATTGGTTATTAGTTCCTCAATTCCTTGGAGTGCCAGTCCAGGAGACAGGATTGCTCAATTATTACTCCTACCATATATTAAAGTTGGAAACAGTAAGATAAGAAGAACAGGAGGGTTTGGAAGCACTGATCCAGCAGGAAAGGCTGCATATTGGGCAAGTCAGGTCTCTGAGAGCAAACCTGTGTGTAAGGCCATTATTCAAGGAAAACAGTTTGAAGGGTTGGTAGACACTGGAGCAGATACCTCTGTCATTGCTTTAAATCAGTGGCCAAAAAATTGGCCTAAACAAAAGAGTGTTACAAGACTTGTCGGTGTAGGCACAGCTTCAGAAGTGTATGAAAGTACAATGATTTTACATTGTTTAGGACCAGATAATCAAGAAAGTACTGTTCAGCCAATGATTACTTCAATTCCTGTTAATCTATGGGGTCGAGATTTATTACAACAATGGGGTGTGGAAATCATTATGCCCGCTCCATTAAACAGCCCCACAAGTCAAAAAATCATGACTAAGATGGGATATATACCAGGAAAGGGATTAGGAAAAAGTGAAAATGGCATTAAAGTCCCAATTGAGACTGGAAAAAATCAAGAAAGAAAAGGAATAGGGTATCCTTTTTAGGGGCGGCCACTGTAGAGCCTTCTAAACCCATTCCATTAACTAGGAAAACAGAAAAACCCGTATGGGTAAATCAGTGGCCGCTACCGAAGCAAAAACTGGAGGTTTTACATTTATTAACAAAGGAACAATTAGAAAAGGGACACATTGAGCCTTCATTCTCGCCCTGGAATTCTCCTGTATTTGTAATTCAGAAAAAAAAATCAGGCAAATGGCGTATGTTAATGGACTTAAGAGCCATAAATGCTGTAATTCAACCCATGGGGCCTCTTCAACCAGGATTGCCCTCTCCGGCCACGATCCCAAAAGACTGGCCTTTAATTATAATTGATCTTAAGGATTGCTTTTTTACCGTTCCTCTGGCAGAGCAAGATTGTGAAAAATTTGCCTTTACTATACCAGCCATAAATAATAAAGAACCAGCCACCAGGTTTCAGTGGAAAGTATTACCTCAGGGATTGCTTAATAGTCCAACTATTTGTCAAACTTTCGTAGGTCAAGTCCTTCAACCAGTTAGAGACAAGTTTTCAGACTGTTATATCATTCACTATGTTGATGATATTTTGTGTGCTGCAAAAACAAGAGACAAATTAATTGACTGTAACACATTTCTGCACGCAGAGGTTGCCAGTGCAGGACTAACAATAGCATCTGATACGATCCAAACCTCTGCTCCTTTTCATTATTTAGGGATGCAGATAGAAAAATAGAAAAATTAAGCCACAAAAAATAGAAATAAGAAAAGACCCATTAAAAACATTGAATTACTTTCAAAAATTGTTAGGCGATATTAATTGGATTCGGCCAACTCTAGGCATTCCTACTTATGCCATGTCAAATTTGTTCTCTATCCTAAGAGGAGATCCAGACTTAAATAGTAAAAGAACATTAACCCC